TATTAAAAATCTTGTAGGTGAATGTGTGATTATTTTCAAATCCCTTATCGGGGCAAAGAGGGCGGAGAGGGTGAAGGATTTGAAATCCCATCTTTTCATTTGTAGAGAAAACTCTACATGTTCTTTGTTTTCCTCCATTAAAGTGGTTTTAAAGTTCCGGATGGGCTCCTTCCAATGGACCAAGACTATCTTAACGGTTCTTGAAATTTTTTATCTTGGGTTTTATTTTGAAAATTTAAAGAATAGTGGGGGGCAAATTCAATATTTCATTTTTTCCGTTAGCACTTAACAATGATGTTAATTGTCAAAAAACTTGAGGGYACTTTAAGACAATATGTAAACAATAAGGGTAGAGTTTAAGAAATTTGCCCTTAAAATAAATGGCCAGAGTACTAAACAGCCCCTTAGTCATCCTTAGTATGGCATTGAGGCACTAATGTACTCTTCAAATGATCATTTAAGCCATCAAAGAGGTTTCCACTAATGCATTTTGAATAGACATCATAAAGAACCTTTTGATTGAAACCATGCCAAAATCATATAAGCAACACTCATAATTTAGCTCTCTCACAATAGATGATATTCCACTCCCTGCTTTCTCCATAAAAACAACAACTCTTTAGCCAATGCCAATCTATAGAAAATACTAAGAGCAGATTTTTGGTTCTGACAGGATCATTATTGAAGTCACCATAATCCTCTAAACAAGTCTTGCAAGGGACAATGTCACATATGTAGTGACTAATAAAAGTTGAAGCCAACACCAATGGAATATCTTGCTAATGTTTGGTGACAAAAAATCCCATTCTCCATATGGAAGTAAGGGGACACTTAGACTCAATTTGAAAAGAGTACAGATACAAATATGTACAGTACAAATACATTCAAAATAATACAAAATACAAGGTTCTGCACTCCACATATTTGTATTTGTACTCCTTCCAAACCAAGCCTCAAATGTTGCCCATATCTTGATATATCAATACTTTCTTTCACATGTCAGTCCTAGCTTATTCAATCTGCCACGAGACTAGTACTGTCATTTAATTTCAGACAATKATTGAAAATTTCTGGTTTCTTCAACCAAGAGTAATTAATGGTGATGAACCAGAAGTGGGTGGTATTTGATTTGATGGCGAAGGTTCTCTTTGAAAATTTAAATGAAAATTAAGGGGTAAAATAGTCTTTTCACTATTTTATCAATTATAATAGCGGAGAGGTGTTAGAAAAAAGAAGGAAATGTAAATATTTACGAGAAATCTCAAAGGAGGTTTAAATCTTTTACCCAAAAAAACTACAACAAATTAACAGCAAAATACAGAAAAAAAAAGAGTTGATCTCCTCTCCAAAACAACTTTGGGGACAAGCCTTTCACCATTTAGGCAACCCTATTCAAACTTTTGTTTATTATATAAACAAATTTTACATAAACAGACTAAGCAAAAAGAAATTTTATTTGGTCCAAAATACCCTAGTACTCGCTAGAAATTGCTGAACAAAAGCCATTTAGAGTTAAGACAGAAAATAGAGAATCAGATCGTAGTATCACACCACAATATAATAAATTCCCGGTTCCTTAACAAACTGAAGGCCTTATAAAAAGTTGTGTTATTTCAATCTCCAGAACTATTGGTATCGTATGAAAAGAGCCATTATTTATTTATTTATTTTGGCTAAAACAAGAAGAACTACACAAGACGAGGTAGCTCGCCCCCAAGCATCACTCCAACAAATATAGAATAAAACATTAGGAAGAGAAGAAAAATAGAAGGACAAAGGACTATCCGAAAAAAGAAAAAAAAAAAAGAGGTTGACACACTATCCAATCCACCGCTTGGTTCACCTCCCTAAAAGCATAGACAAAAGAAATCCCATGAACTAGGTTGTCTACTAGCTTCGAACACTCCTCGATGATGTCTTTAACCTCCATGGAGACTCAGACTGCTTCTCCAAACAAGACAGTTGCCCTCAAAACATAGTGATTCTTAGCAATGCAGGCTATAGAACATTCCCCATTACTGTTTCTTGAAGCATCAAAATTAATTTTAATGGAATTATATTTTGGGGATTCCCAAAGGACCGATCTCAAATTGTTTAAACAATTTCTAGAGGCATCTTTAGCAAGATTTATATTTGTCTCTCTAAAAGAGCTTATAGCTCTCTATCTATTAGCTCCAAGGGGCTAAACTTTTATTTTCAAAAGCTTTACTATTTCTGTTTTTCCAAAAAACCAAAGCAGGAAAATGTATTATTCATAGATGTGGTTCCCCAAATTTCCAAATTTATCTAAATCTCTCCACCAAGTTTGAAGTAAAGTGCTTCCATTGACTCGGCTCACCAAAATTGGATCAATTAGGTCCCAAACCTGCTTGGCAAATGAGCATTTGATAAAAATATGCCCATTTTCTTCATAATTTGCACATAAACCGCATCAACTATCAATAGATAGGCCCCTAGAAATGAGTAGGCCTTTAGTGGGGAGACAATTATTTAAAGCCAAATACAAACAAAAAAGGTTTTAATTTTGAGACCCCAAATCCTACTAAGGATCATGTTTGGACCCTTCTCTCCACCCCCACCCCCACCCCTAGCCATAGCCTCCTAATGAAGAACTCTCCCTCAGGATCAAACCTCCAAACTAAGGAATCTTCTCTTTCCTCTGATAGGATTAAACTTGGTCTAATGCTCTTCCAAATGTGAATAGGGACATGGTTGTAGATTTTATCTTCTTTCCATACCTTTCTTTCATCATCAATGAAATCCCAAACCCAATACTCACTATTCGCATTAGAAACATTACTACCTAGTTTTTCCTTGATGGCACCCTCGTTGCCCCAATTATCTTTCCACTTCCATTGCCAGTGGTCCATCCCATACACCTTTTGAGAAGGGTTCTAGCATTTGGGATTCTTCTCCAAGCCCACAAGATCGCATTTCTAGTACTTACAGTTTTACACTCCATAAATTATTATTTTTAGGTATTTCTGGATTTCCATTCTGACCCAAAGGCTCTACTTTTCTTTAAGGATATGCCTCATTGAACCAAAAGAGATTTTTTAAACCTAGCCCACCCCCAACTTTTGGGCAAACAAACACTTTTCTAGCTCATTAATGAAATGAGGCATTGAGGTGATAGTGGAATTTAGAAGAGTGACTCTAGAACTCGCTAGGGAGAAAGCTTTCTTTTTCCAACCCCCAACTTGTTATTGATTTTTTCTCTGAGCTCACGCTTTCCTTTGACAAGCTCCCAGATAAGATTATGTTTTCCTCTCCAAAGGGATTTTTAAAAATTTGGACAAAATCTTCTAAAGTCTATGGAAGTTTTTTTTAGAAAATTAAGGTTGAATTGCTAAAATTTGGTCCTTGACCTGAAACTTTTGCAAAATTCGCTAAAATTTCTTTGATCTTTAGACATGTTGGAATAGAAGTCTTAGTGAAAATTAAGCAATCATTTGCAAATTGAAAAATAGGAATACAAAATCCCCCTTCTGAAGCACTATACCCAATTGGGCTTCTAGGAAGGTAAGCTTCCTCTATGAAATTCCTGGCGAGAGCCTTAGCACATAAAACAAAAATACAAGGGGAGAGGGGATCACCCTGTATGATACCCCTGGTTGGCTCAATCTTTCTTGATGGAGAACCATTAATCAAAATTTTATGCATGTCATCACCCAAACAATCCATTTTTTATGGAACTCAAATTTAGTGAGAATTTTTTCAATGAAATCCAATTCAAGTCTGTCATACACTTTTTCCATATCAACCTTACAAGCTATAATTCTAGAGCTTCATTTTTTCCTTTTCATGGTATGCATCATCTCATGGGCAATGATTATATTGTCATTAATTTGTCTATTTAGGACAAAAGCATTTTTGAAATGGAAAAATAATAATATCATCAAGAAAAATCTTGATTCTATTAACCAAAATTTTGGATATGATTTCGCAAGCGACATTCTAAAATTATTCACACCACACCCTCGGGGTTTTCAAGAAAATACTAATGAGAAGTAGGTGATTTTCAAGAAAAGGCTTCATAGAGGATATATATTCATTCGTGGAGGTACCCAATCCTGTTGTTTCAAGGATTTGATTCCATTGACTCAATTAATTGCTTCTCATTTTCACTGAAATGCACCTGGCTATAAATAAATGTTGTTAACTTTAGGTGATGTTTGGCATCAATGTTGATTCTTCCTTATAATTTTTGAAATTTGAAATTAGTGTTTTTTTTTTTCAAAAATCAGTAAATTTTGTTAATTGGTATCATTTCTGTCATGTAAGTCGATTTCAAAGAAATCGGTTTTTAGTCTATTTGGCATTGATTCTCCATGGCTAATTATTTTTGTATTAGAATTATTATTCAATGCCATATTGAATGCCTCAAGAAATCAGAATTAGCTAGAAATTATGAATCACCAAAAAAAGGTAATCCCTGAAAAGAGTTGATTTTTGACTAATTTCTTAAAGCTCACCAAAATCGGCCAACCAAATAAAAAAATTAGCACCCAAAAATACAGATTTATCCAAATTTATTTGAATTCTTAATGATCACATTTTTTCTATCCATCCATCCATATATAATAAAGAGTAATAGCAAGTCAGTCTAAAATCTCGCCAACCCATTATTCACTACAAGACCTCATTCGCTTTTTAGTAAGTTATTTATCCGGGTAAATACAATTACCTGGGTAAGTTCTTCCTAGGAAATACTTACCCAAAAAAGTGCATTTATCCATGTTCTTTTATTTCTCAGATAAATAAAATAATGACCATTTTTGTCTCATTCAAGTATCGGCAATAAACTCATAGGGAAACGATAACGACCGGTGGTTTATCAAAATCAAATCCCTAATCTGGATAAGGTTGAGCCAAATGGCCCGAACACACACCAACCCGATCCGATCCAATAATAGTAATAATGGGCCCTGATCTTTGCCACGTGGCAAGTTATAAGGCCCCAGACGGCAACCTTTATCTACCGCCACTGTCGATTGTCGGACTCGAACGTCCACCGCGACGAAAAGAGCAAGAAAGAAAGCAAAACCCCCTTTACCTCTTTGGTGTAGAACAGAGGAAGAGGGAGTGCAAAACATCTTCCTTACTCGAATCGAAGAAGCCAGCGGAAGCCTCTGACAGAAGCCTTCGTCTTTCTCTTTCAAGTGATTTTTAGCAAGTCTTAAGGTAAGTCCTGGTTATTGTCTTCTTTTCTGATAGAATAGAATATTAGGGCTTTTTGATTCATCGGTCTTTGTGCAAGAAAACCCTAATCATCTTCCTCTTTTTATTCTTCCCCTTGTCTCCTCGCATTTCCATCGTTACATTTGCATTTTCTCTTATTATTTCTCTTCTATTTCTGCCGCAAAATTTAATCTTCTTCTGACCTTTTACTACACCAGGAACGCCTCAAATTTTCGTACATGCTACATTTTAGCTTATTCTTTCTCTACTTGGTGCTTGACTTTAGCGCATAAATTAGAGAACGACAACTCGTCTACTCACATAAATTACATGATTCTGAAAATAGTTAAGCGCGGTTTTATAGTTTCTTGCTGTTGTCTTTTGAAACCTCATTCTATTTTTCTTTTAATATCTGATATTTATTTCAAGTGACTATTGGAGATTAAAACAGCAAAAGTGTTGGACGGTTCTATTCGCTTTTTTATTTGATTCATTGAGTTCGAATTGTTATTTTCTGTTATCTGCAAATTCTGGTTGACAAAGTATTTTCTTTGGTGTTGTAGTGAGTAGCAAGGAATTATGACGACAGCAGCTCGCCCTACGTGGGCACCTGCAAAGGGTGGTCAAGAACAAGGTGGTACTCGAATTTTTGGCCCTTCACAGAAATACTCTTCCAGAGATCTTGCTTCTCACACAACTTTAAAGCCCAGGTAGATTTTTGCGAAGGCTTTCTTCTGTGTCATAATTTCAGTGCCACTTATTCTTCTTCTTCTTCTTCTTCTTCATTATTATTATTGTTCTTGTTCTTGTTATTGTTCTTGTTCTTGTTCTTGTTCTTGTTCTTGTTCTTGTTAGAAGAAAAGGATAGGTATAAGACTGCATTCGTAGTGCCCTTTGGGCTAAAAAACGCCCCTTCTGAATTCCAGAGAATCATGAATGCAATATTCACACCCTATACTCAATTTATGATAGTATATATTGATGATGTATTAATCTACTCTTCTTTATTAAAAGCCCAAGATTTTGTGAGTGTTTGTGAATATTGTTTTCTGAGCGTTTGTAAGAGATTGCCAATCTAAGGCATCTATTATTGTGCTGTGTGTTATAGCTTTCTTTGAATATTATCTATAACTTTCTTCAAAGTATTTTATTGTCCTTTCAATTTTCTGAGCGTTTGTAAGAGATTGCCAATCTAAGGCATCTATTATTGTGTTGTGTGTTACTATACCTCTGTAAGTATCGTTAAGATTTAAAGTATTGATTTTAAGCTTTCTTTGAATATTATCTATAACTTTCTTCAAAGTGTTTTATTGCGCTTTATTTTCTGAAAAATCACTATTCATTCACTATTTATCTGCATATCTCACTATTCTCCGCCATGTTCATCACTATTCACTAGCCTCCTACCCCAACTCCCTGCTCCGTATCACTCTCACCCGTTTGATATCAGAGCCATTGACCCTAACTTCTCTGTTCAAATTCAAAATTGTTCCTCTCTGTTCTTTCCATTTCGATCCCTTACTTTTTACTCTTCATTACACCATTACCTGTCGCTACCTTGTCGGAACCTTTGGTTGCTAGTAGGTAACCTAGAACCTTTGGCTAGAACCCAAAGACTGTAGCTTCTTCGGAGATATCGCTGAGCTAAAACCCCAGTCGGACAGCCTAGACACCTGCCAGTTTTACGAAGGCTAGAACCCTTGAGCCAAGGTCGAAGTCGCGTTGAAGGCCGAAGAGAGTGAAGGCCGTGAAAGTTGATTGATCGTATTTGGTAAAGTAAAAGGATAAGATGAAGAAGTTATTTAGGTCCTCCTCTAGTACCTCAAAAAGACTCTGGTGAGTCTAGTAGTAGCACACGCCTAACCAAGTCCATGTCTATAAAGAATATGGAAGCAGTAAATTATCTAAATGTTTAGTTTAAAAGAAATATACAAAAAAAGAATATTTAGTTTAAAAGAAGATCTAAATGTTAGAACCGTAGAAAGAACCATTGCACTAGGAAATGAAGCAGAAAGCTTTTCCCTAGTTGACAAGAAGGTAATAGAAACCTATAGAATAAGTAGAAAGCTTTTCCCTAGCTTAGAATAAGCTATTTCAGACTTGTTCGGGTCCCGAAAATAATGCTGGATCCTGGCGGACCCAATGTGGAGGAGAATTTCTTCATAGTATTTATGATCTTTGTTTTGACCGCATACTGTGAAATGATGCCCGTCTAAGATGGATAGGGCAAGATGATGAAGGGCTCCTTCTGGGTTGACATGGTTGGAGACGGAGGTGGCTTCTTCTCTTGAGATTGTGGTTACAAAATCTGATGAATTAAGTAGATATTGGCTGAAATTAGCCTCTTCCATAGTAGGAGTTGGTTCCCTAATTAAGGGAGACTTTATTGGTGACTGATTAGTCCTTGAGCTTGCTACGGTCTCATAATTAGACCTACGAATGGGCTCATTAGTCCTTTTTGATCGCTTGGAATTAGGACTTAAGGGAAGACGAAGTCTCCTGTCGGCCATCTTTAATTAGATAACCTTGTAAGAATTCCCTGATTAAGAAATCTGGCAAAGCATTATCAGATCCTTTAATATATGTAATATCAAAATCAAATACTGATAAAATAGCTCGCCATCTAGCAAAAATCTGTTTTGAAACCAGGTTTTTTACATCTTTTTCCAGAATTTCTTTGGCGGATTTGCAATCAATTTGAAGAGTAAAATGTTGGTTTATCAAATCACTTTGAAATTTAGTGATGCAAAGGATGATACTGAGCATTTCTTTTTTGACAGCGGAGTATTTTTTCTAGGTGTCATTCCAGGTTCCTGAGGCAAACCGGATTATCTCATTCTTCCCGTCTCTCCTTTGCTTTAGGATTCCTCCGTATCCTATCTCACTGGCATCAATTTCCACTATTTTAGGATACTCTGGATGGGGGATGTTAAGGCAGGGGAGAGTTTTTACCCTTTGTTTAATCTTCCTAACTGTTTGGGTAAATTGCTTACTCCATTCTGGAGGATTCTTTTTCAGTCTCTTCTCAAGCAATTGTCGGTCATGGGCTATTTCTTTATAGTAGTCTACTACGTAATTTAGACTACCTAAAAATCTCTGGAGCTGAGTTTTATCTCTAATCTCGTCAGGGAATTTGTCAGCAAAATCTATTACTCTCTAGATAGGTGCTATTGTTCCTTTAGATATCTGAAATTCTAGAAATTTAATCTCTATTTGAAAGAGTTTCATTTTTTTAGCAGAAACTGCTAACCCGTTTTCTTTCATCACTCTAAGAAATATGTTCAGGTGTTTCCAGTGGGCTTTTAATGAAGAAGAGTAGATTAATACATCATCAATATATACTATCATAAATTGAGTATAGGGTGTGAATATTGCATTCATGATTCTCTAGAATTCAGAAAGGGGCGTTTTTTAGCCCAAAAGGCATTACATTTCATTCATAGTGACCAAAGGGCATTGTGAATGTAGTCTTATACCTATCCTTTTCTTCTATTATAATTTGCCAATAACCTGATTTTAGGTCAAATTTTGAAAATATTTCTGCACCATATAGACGATTTATTAGATCCTGCTTATTAGGAATGGGGCATCTAATCCATCTTAGTGCTTTATTAAGAGGTTTGTAGTTTATAACAAGCCTCGGTACCCCTCTTTCTATTTCAGCTGCATTTTCTATGTAAAACACAGGACAGCTCCAAGGGGATTTACTTGGTCTAATTAGACCCTTATTCAATAAATCTTGGATTTCCTTTTTACAGATTTCTAATAATCTGTTATTCATTTGGATTGGTCTGGCTTTCATAGGGATTTTTTATTCTCTAAAATCCTCTTCATATGGTAGTTCTACCGTATGCTTTTTCCTATGCCAGAACGCGCTGAGTGTTTAGGCACAAATTTCCCGTGTTATTCTTTTTTGAAAATTTCTAATTTCATTTTAGGTTCTTCAAGTTGCTTAATTAGTTGCTTTTCTTTTATTTCAGATTGTAATTCTGCTATAAGCTTTACTTTGCCTTTTCCATTTTCTTTGAGGGTGTTGATAGTTGAGGTTTTGGGTTTTTGGCAAAACTTATAGGTTACCGTAATTTCCTCTATTGTGGTTGTGATTCCGTCAGGGTCAATTTGGCAAGGAAGGATGGATAACAAGAATGGAGTTCCCAAAATAACCTCTTAGTCTTAAGTCTTTTACCATAAGGAAAGTAGACTTTAGACAGGTTCCTTGATTGCAGATATGGGCTACAGGGATTTTATATATCTCCAGTTTCCTTCCATCCGCTGCATTAACTTGTTGGGTGGTCTTTTCAAAATATCTAGAAGGCACAATTCCTTCTCTAATGCAATTAATGTCCACACCTGAGTCTATTAAGGCTATTACTGAGAGATTGAAATCTTTATTATTATTATTATTTTATTTTTATCAGCAAGAGACTTTTATTAATGACAGAGAAATATTGAATACAATAGGTATAGGCTGCAGTAATGCATTAACCCAATCTGCAAACACATATAAACAGTTACAGTTCTACCCAATACAAGGTAGATCTATTTGTCCCCTGTTTTGCTAGGGTATCCGCCAACCCATTCGTAGTCCTTTTCACCCAACCAAACTGAGAGTTGAACCTCCTTGCAATTATGTCAATTTCTTTGTAGATAAATTTGAGCTTCCAAGGTGCTAATGTGATGTTTTTAGCCCAAGAAATGACCAGTAGTGAGTCTCCTATTTCTAAATCTGTTGTTCCAATCTACTCAGTCATCTTTAAACCTTGAAGTAGAGCCAGAGATTTAACATGTATTGAGTCACTAATACCTATTGGTCCTGAGAAGAGTGCCACAACTTCACCTAGATGATTTCTAACCACACTCCCTATACCTGCCCTTCCCGGGTTACCAAAGGAACTCCCATCAAAGTTTAGTTTTAGCTTGTTCAATGTAGGTGACTTCCACTCTACTCTCACAACTTCTTTGGGTACATCTGTTTGTGCTACTTCAGTCTAGCTTCTTAGAATCTCATTCGTGGAGAAGTTTTTGAATAGTTCCATGGTCATCACCCAATGTGCAGTTTTGATTTTTATGGCTTCAATGACTTTCTCCTTTGATTTACTTTTTTCAAAGAAGAGTCTTTGATTTCTTTCCTCCCATATAGTCCATACCACAACAGCTCTTGCTTGCTGCCTTCCATAAGCACTTTCCTCTTTTCTTTTGTTGCCTTAGGAAGGAGGGGCTGAATAGACTTACCACATCCTGTGGGGGAACCCATTTGCATCCAAAGAGAGAACAAACACTTTCACAAATACAAGAAACAAAAGAGCAAGATAAGAGTAAGTGGGGTAGGGTTTCACCACAATCCTTACAAAGGACACACACATGAGGAGAGAGGCATTTGTTTGGCCTTCCTTTTTGTACCACATCACAAGTGTTTACCTTCCCTAAGAACACTTCCCAACAGAAGGCTTGTACTTTAGGAAGAATCGGTTTACACCAGATTTCTCACTGGGAAGTTCATCCCCAAAGGATCAGAGCAAGTGAGCAAACCAAAGAAAGAGGCACAAGAAAATAAACCCTTCTCAAGGGTTGAGAGTAAAAGCAATAGGGACTCACATTCATTTTCCCTCACTTCTAAAGCCAAAGTCCCAAGAGATATCCAAGTATGAAAGTATGCCAACCCTAGCAACAAGTTTGTTTTTAAGGTTTGATAAGGAGTAGAGGTCTGGGAATTTAACCTTAAAAGGCAAATCCCCTACCCAAAGGTCTTCCCAGAATAAAACTTTATTGCCACGCCCAACATCAAAACGGATAAATTGAAAAAAGGTTGGTAGTACCTCAAAGATTGCCTTCCAAGGGGAATTTGGAGCTGCATTGGAAGCTAGTTTTGCATCCCAGTTGTTTTTTGCTTCACCATAAATGCTCTTAATGACCCTGTGCCACAACCTATCTTCTTCACAAGGGAATCTCCACAACCATTCCCCTAGGAAGGCCTTATTTTTCTATAAGATGTTCCCAATTCCTAGGCCACCTTGCTCCTTAGGTTTACAGACTTGCTCCCACTTCACTAAATGATCCCTCTTTTCATTACCAAGTTCCCACAAAAAATCCTTCATTATCTTCTCCAACTTCCTTGCTATTTTCAGTGGGATCTTAAAGGTGAAGAGGAAATAGGTGGGCAGGTTTGCTAGGGTGGATTTTATCAAGATGATTCTTTCCCCAAGGAAATATAATTTCTCTTCCACATTGCCAACTTCTTTGTGAATCTCTCTAAAACTAGCTTCCAAAAGCTTTTAACTTTCGGGTTTCCCCCCAAGGGCATACGTATATTCTATAGGCCAGCTTTTCACTTCACGGCCTAGCAAATTTGCCATGGCTTGGATGTCCCCCTCCCCTATGGTTATTCCAGCTATACAACTTTTTCCCCAATTCACTTTTATTTTGGAGGCCTGTTGAAACTTGTCCACCAAATTTTTCAGATTCCTCAAACTAGATTCATTACAACTCTCACAGGAAATGATTGCATCATCCACAAATTGCAAGTGAGACACCACAACTTCTGAACTACCAATTCTCCAACCTTTAAACTGATTTTCTTGGTCAGCCTTGATGATTTGTCTACTTGGAACCTCAGCCACAAAGGTAAATAAAAATGGGATAAGGGATCACCCTGTCTTAGTCCTCTTTTAGCCGAGAAGAAGTCCTTCGCTACTCCATTTAAAATGATAGAGAAATGTGCCGAGCTAATACATCCTTTGATCCACAGTTACCTAAATTCGTCTCCATCTTTGATGCATTATTTGTCTCCCTTCTACAAAACTCCTTCGTTTTGAGAAATAACAAAGGGCAAGACTGTCTTCAACCAACCAACCAAAACTTTAGCAATGATCTTATACATGCTACCAACAAGACTTATCGGTCTATAATCCTTGGGGGTTTTGGCCTCTTTCTTTTTTGGCACTAGACCAATAAAGATTGCACTCCTGGAGAGAATTTCCCTTTTTGATAGAACTCAACAAAGACATCCAGTAAATCATCTTTCAAGATTTCCCAACAATCTTGATAGAAAGCCATTGAAAAACCGTCCGGCCCCGGAGCTTTAGATTTATCCATCGAGAAAATTGCTTCATGGACCTCCTCTACACTGAAGGCTCTTTCTAAGAGGGTAGCTTCGGATTTTGGCACTCTATCCCACTGTAATTCTCCCAATTCCAAATTGCTTTCAACAGAGGAACCAAGGATTGACTTGAAATGATCCACAAAGCACCTTTCAATTTCCTCCTTTGAGTTTACTACTCCCTCCCTCCACCTCTATACTGGAGATTTGGTTTTTCCTTCTCCTGTTTGCTAGGGAGTGGAAAAATCTGGTGTTTCCATCCCCCTCCAGAAGCCATTTACACCTTAATTTTTGTCTCCAAGAAATTTCTTCGTTCCTCAAGATCTCCTCTAGTTGCACTTTTAAGTTCCATCTTTCAACTCTATTCTCTAGCCCACTCTTTACGTGCTTTCTTTTGGTCCAATTTCTCTATTTTCCTGGCTAATACCTCCTTTATGACCTCGAGTTTTCCAAACTCCTCTTTGTTCCACTCCTTGACCTTTTCCTGAAGTCTTTTCAACTTCTTGGAGAATCTCACCACTTTCTCTCTAGCCCTTATTCCACCTTCTGACCACCAATCTTTTATCTTTTGCATAAAGTTTGGAACTTCCAATCACATATTCTCAAATCTAAAGGGTGTAGGGCCTCCAATAAAGTTTTCTTGGTAGAGACTTAGGGGCAGAGGTCCGATGCTACTCTAGGAAGGGCTTTCAGTGTTAAGTTCCCCCACAACTCCTCCCAATCTTCAATCTTCAAAAAAAAAATTATTGCCTTTTTTGTTGTTTCTTTTTAATTTATGTTACTTTTTATTATTTACTATTTGTTACTATTATACATTTTTTGGGTATACTCTATCAACTTCTAATCAAAGTAATCAGAGAAGTTAAAATAGCTAGATATAATGAGAGGGTCGTAGAATAGGATGGATTAGTAATACCATGCTTGTAAGATTTAATTATTCTTTTTTCTTGTATTGATGTTGATCAGTATTCTGCGTAAATCCTTCCTTCCCCCTTTCCCAAAAATTCAGAGATTTGTGTGTGCATAATTGTGCTTGTACATGCATACATGTAAAGATATTCATATGTACATGATACTCGTGTGTGTGTGTGTGTGTGCGTGTGTGTGGTGTTTTCCCAAATTGTTGTTAGCATTGATGCCCAAAGCTGTGAGTAGATAGATAGTTGCATCTTAGTTTTTTTTTTGGGGGTAATAAAAGTCGTTCATTAAAAAGGAGAAAGGCCGAAGACAATACAGCAGCAAAGAAGAGGAGAAAAACGAACTAAAAAACAAACTACAGAGCTACAAACTACCAGAAAAACAGAGATAGAAAACTAAATAACAGACCAGTCTGAACACAAGATATTTGCTATCCACACGGGCAGCATCCAACTAGAATTCAGATCCATGCAAACCTTTCTGGATGGCTGCATGGGCCACTCTATTTGGTGAACACTTCACAAAAGAAAAGGACACATTTGAAGAGCTTGCTAAACTTAGGCAGTCTTGAACTACTGAGAATATTTCAGTTGGGCAATCAATGCCCTTTTTCTGGAGCCAGCCAACCAGTGACTTATTGTCATTCTCAATTACTAAGTTCTTCAGTTGAAGTTCTTGAGCAATCAGCAAACCTTCTAGGACTGCTAAAGCCTCCACTTGAAGCACTGAGAGTCTGAGACAGCCTTAGATCTACCACACTTTGAAGCCACAAAACACCCTTCATGATCCCTAACTACCAATCCAAAAGCTGCTGTATTCTCATTCAAAAAAAGCTCCATCAACGTTAATTTCCTTCCAATCGGGGGGG